ACTAACACCCAGATAAGATAAGATTTCGTTCGGATTTTTAACCCCGGAGGGTTAGCCACCCAGGATAACCCAAGAAAGTCAGTGCGTCATCGAGGACTGTCTAACTTATTTCCATTGGGGTCCTTAATCTTGTCCCCCAGGATGCGACCCACACCAGTCGACTAACACCCAGGTACCTATTTGCTGCTAGGTGAACAGGACAACAGGTGTAAGGAAACGTGTCGAATGTTTCCACCCGCCGGGAATCGAACCCGGGCCCTCCGTGTGTGAAGCGGGAGCTTTAGCCACCAGGCCACCGGGCCTGTACAGAGGTACACAATGGGTCCAGGGACGGCTCCCAAAGTTTTGATGGCGGGAATAGGACAAGGTAATGAACCAAAAAGTTCCCAAAGGTAATGAACTCACAAGTTACAAAGGTAATAAATACGTAAGAAGGGTTACTTAGTGTATACTGGCTGAAAATTTAAACAAATTTTAGAGTAATGAAAATTCACACTTCCCCCCCGGGGTCACAACTGTAGTGAGTTATTGGTGCAAAAATTTTGATTGCTGAGTCTCTCCTCTCTACACACCCACCACATAAAAATTTCATACACACACCCACTAATCACACACACACACACCACATACAAAAAACTCATACACACACATGCACACACACTCATCCCCCCAACACACCACTCATACACACACCCCAAAACTCATCTCACACACCCAACCACACACACAAACACACACACAACACACCACACACACCACACACAACACCATACACATCACACAAACAACCACACAACCAACACCAACACACACCCACACACAAACCCACACCACCCAACACACCAACACACACACACACACACACAACCATCACATATGTGGAAATGTTTTATTTACAGCTAGCAAATCAGGGATTTCCCAGAAGGGCGAAATAAAAAGGTTTTTGTCGGAACGGGAAGTCGTAGAGATGTTTGTGTTAGGTTTTATGCCTGGGGTCGGCACAACTAAAAGAAAGCGTTTTTAGGTCAAGGTTGATTTTGGGGTTTTAAGGTCCTGTAGATGTAGTTGGGGGCACTCGATTTGACAAGGCTTTTTCCCTCTAAGAAAAAGGATAGATGTAAAATAGAAAGAGACGGCCTCCCTTTACAGGCGAGGGAAAAAGAATAACAGGCGGCTAAAAATCAATATATCTGAAATCGTAGGGGACATAGTCAGAAAATAGCAAGATCAAATTTAAGCAAAAGGAATCTACAGGAGTCGGGAATCGCGGGAAAACTAAAACCCATAAATGAAATCGAAAGAAACCAAAAATATTTCTTCTCCTATGCCAAATCAAAGTCGAGAACAACGTCCAGATTGGGCCCCTACTTAAAACAAAGGGGTCCCACAGATGACGAAAGGGAATGAGTGAGCTACCAAGTCCCAATTGACTCAGAGAAAGCCGCTAATCAGACTGAGAGTCGAAGATCAAAAGAATTTTTTATGAGAGAGCCAAGAATTTGGGGTTAACACAAGCCATCCGATGTTATCCTACGCCAAAAATGACTTCAACAGGCGATAAAATGAATGCCCATCATCTGCCCCAGGGCCAGAACCCTGGACTCCGTGTTCATCAAAACTGCAAGAAGCCCCTATTTCGAGCCTTTTCCCTCCCCATGGAGAGGGCTGACACGGGGGTCGTCCCCCAAATTTCTAAAAAAACAACATAGCCCCACTCCACAAAGGGGGGAGGGAAGCAACAGCAAAGAAATACGACCGTAGCACTAACACCATATCATAAAAATCTTTGAAGGGTCCCAAAAGCAGATCACCACCATCTAGAAACCCCTCAGTTTTTACAACCCAGGGGAACATGGGTTTTGAACAGGTTTTGCTCCTGTCGTCTCAACATTGGTCCTACGACAAGGGCCAGTGCACTAGAAGACAAAAAAAAAAGCAGATGTAATATTACAACTTTTCAAAAGCCCTTTGACAGGGACCCTGGGGAATAGCGCACAAAATGCGTGCTAAAGGAATAACGGAAAAGCGGGCGTGGATCTATAATTTCCCACAAAAGAACACAGAGAGTAGTACAACGAGTAAAGTCCCCGGGGAGCTACGGTGAAAAGCCCTGTCCACAAGGCACAGTACTCGCTCCCCCCTCTTTTTCCCATCCTAAATTTTGAATAGACAGGATGAGCCACAGCCCGTGTCTTCCTTTTCAGATTTGTTTTTTTATTTTAAAATTTTATTATGCACCCCTACCACCTGGGGCGGTAGTCAAAAGATTTTCAGAGGGACATAATTTGGGCGGGATGGAAATCCCAAATTTTGATAGTGAGCAAGTTACAGAGGTAATGAACTCACTGTAAAAATTTTGAGTTTATTCCCTTTTCAGATGACACCCAATCTGCTGCATGTCCCCTTCATTGCAGACAGCAAGGGGCCCCGGGGGACACAACCAAAAACTTTAGTGGGCGAGAAAAAAATAGAAGTTCAACGATGAGAAAATTAATTACTCAGATATTTTTAAAAAACGAGGAAATTAAAAACTTCTCAGAGTACAAAAAATTTTGGGCCCAAAAAAAGAGCGAAACACCAAAGTCAAAGACCTGGGGGGTGTCATGTCGAGAACTCACCTTTAAGGACCATAAATTGTATCAATGCTCTGCTAGAAAAAAAGAAGGGTGGGTAATGAAACCTTCAAAACTAGGGGGGCCAAAAACCCATGAGACACTCTTCAGGGCCTTTTTCTATTAGGGTGGAAAATTGCGCACACTAAAGCATCTTTCAAAGGGAGGTGAAATGCTGACCTAGAAAATGTACAGAGAACCTTTTATGGTCGCATAAAGGAGATAAAAAAAACCTCATTATGGGGGGCGCTTGAGGGTTTCCCAAACCTATTCCCTGGGAAAGCAGGCGGGAGAATACATGATTATAACACCGGGAAAAATTTTGAGGGGCTAGTACCAACTTGCACACGAAAATCACTCACTACGAAAGCAAAAGACTTGGCAGACAAATGCAACACCCCCCCAATGAAAAGCAGGGGTGTCACTAGCACGTTAAGAGACCATACAACAAGTGTCAGGGGCCCAAGACTGTTCAACTGCCTCCCAGCATACATAAGGGGGATTACCAACAGACCCCTGGCAGTCTTCAAGCTGGCACTGGACAAGCACCTAAAGTCGGTTCCTGACCAGCCGGGCTGTGGCTCGTACGTTGGTTTGCGTGCAGCCAGCAGCAACAGCCTGGTTGATCAGGCTCTGATCCACCAGGAGGCCTAGTCACAGACCGGGCCGCGGGGGCGTTGACCCCCGGAACTCTCTCCAGGTAAACTGAACAGGGAGTAAGTTTAGATCTATGAAGAGTGGGGGGTGTGTGTTGCCAGGGATGGGATTTAGTGATTATTCTTACTGCAGCTTTTTGTTGGGTTATTATTGGCTTTAGGTGTGTTGCTGCAGTTGATCCCCAAGCACAAATAGCATAGGTGAGGTATGGATAAATAAGTGAGTGGTATAGTGTGAGAAGGGCATTTTGCGGCACGTAGTATCGTATCTTGGAGAGGATCCCAACCGTTTTGGATACTTTTTTGGTTATATGGTGGATATGGGTGCTGAAATTCAGGTTGTTGTCAAGGTATAGGCCTAGGAATTTGCCCTCATTATGTTAATAAACTAACATCTAGGTACCTACTTACTGGTAGATGAACAAGGAGAACAGGGGCGGCCAGCAGTAACAGCCTGGTTGATAAACCCTGATCCACCACTAGGCCTGGTCTCAGACCGAGCCGCGGGGGCGTTGACACCCGAAACCTTCTCCAGGTATACACTCAGTAAGGCGAGAGCGTTGCTTACCAAACTGTCGAACATGCCATCTTAATTTTATTAAAAACTTTACTGATTATGTGAACAGTATATAAGACTAGATGTATTTCGGTCGCTGAATGATCCCAGAAAGTTATCCCCGTATTGCATACTATTAATATTATTATTACATTGTGGAGGAGCGCTAAACCCATAGAGGTCATACAGCACCTGAGAGAATGGGAGGCATTCAAATTCAATCCGAGGAAGGGGGGCACAGGTCCATGGAAATTAGTCAGTTATGACATTAATTCTTTATCACAGTTAAGGTCATTAAGCTTTTCTAAATGGTTATGGTCAATGTATTTCTTGTTTACAGTACTTTTTACAGGCAGACCGTCGGTAGTGTAATGGGAAATCCACTGGTACAATCCTGGTGTGGGAAATCACGGGACTGCCTGATTTCCCAGATGGTTAGATCTTTAATGGGGGAACGAGCAGTGGACCCACCTATGCCTTTGTCCGGGTGCCACATTTGTTTATTCTCTCTTAATTTTTTATAAGTCTAATGAAACATTGTTCCAGACTATGGAGCAAAACTTCTCCAGGTTGAGGGACTGACCACCTCAAAACTACGTCTTCATGGTTGATGGACTGATTACATCTTCACATCTCTAGTGTTTCTGCAACTTTTCTGTACTTGACTGAAGAAGCCTACTGTGTAGGCGAAGCGTTTCATGTGTGTCTTACTTATGAACCTGTCGGTATTGTATACCATTTTCAAATTCCCAGTGCAGAGTACCTGGTGATAGTTAACAGTCTATCAGGTAATTCTTTCTTCCGTCTAAACTACACAAATTTATGAATATTGAATAAATTGTGTAGTTATGGACACTGCGGTGAGAACTTTTTAGAATACAGGTTAAACCAAATTAACTAAGGATATACGACATTTTTTGCTTTATTAACAGTTGCAAAATAAATATTTGGTGGTGACCTATAAAAAGTTACTTTTAATTTCATCCCAGTGCTTTATATTAAGTAAATGTGTGCAAACATATTAGATTTTGTTTTTCTTAATAGGACGTTACATGCAGTCTTGATCACGAACGGTGATGCTCTTAAGGAATTATATGGCTTATACGTCGCTTTGAGATACTTATCCCTCCTTATCAAGCACAGGATGAACATGAGGAGTAAAATAAAACTCTTCCAGTGTCAGCTCGACATATTGGTCAGCTACTAAGACACTAGTCAATTATTTTTCTCTCTGAATTTAAGACGGTATGCGAGTGACTCCGGTCACTCCAGTGTGTGGGCGTCACACTCTCCAGGGTTTATATTGGCAAGATTCACTCTGTTTGAAAACGCCTATTTCCTTGTGTCCGAAAAGAACATTTATTTCCCATTACCTCCCAGATTTAACAATATTTTCTCCCTGGAGTCTGGAAGACAGGATGTCATTCAACCAGCTGTGTTGGCCTTTAATAACTTTTACATTGTGAACAAGAAAAATGTCTGCGTAAATTAAGGTAAACTTCATGTATTATGTAACTTAGGTTGTCTGTTCCTGGCTACAAGGGATATTATTGTATAAATGATACAATAATGTCCCTTTTGAAAATCGATTTCTTACTCAGGCTGATGCTCACTATGGCTTTGTGTGCACCGGTGTCAGCGCCTGGGTACTTATATTTTCACTTGTGTGTGGTTCCAGTGGTTGAATCACAGCTCCTGTCCCTGCTTATTCGGTGGTCGCTACTAAGTCCACTCTCTCATGGCTTCAAGAGCCAGCACCTGGGTGACTACCCGGTGTTAAGCCTCACACTAATGTCAATATCAGACTAACTATTGTCAGTTTCAGACTGTTCTTGGTGCTAGTCTTATTTATATTTGTGTTAGTTTTAGTCTACTCAGCCTGACTACCCAGTGTCAGCCTGACTACCCAGCATCACATGAGCAGGCCAGCAAAACATTCATACAAACAAGCAAGCATACATATATACAAACAAGCAATCATACATATATACAAACAAACAAGCAAGCATACATATATACAAACAAACAAGCAAGCATACACATATACAGACAAGCAAGCATACATATATACAAACAAGCAAGCATACATATATACAGACAAACAAGCAAGCATACACATATACAGACAAGCAAGCATACATATATACAAACAAGCAAACATACATATATACAGACAAACAAGCAAGCATACATATATACAGACAAACAAGCAAGCATACATATATATCAAACAAAAAAGCAAGGCATACACATATACAGACAAGCAAGCATACAATATACAAACAAGCAAACAAAACATATATACAGACAAACAAGCAAGCATACATATATACAGACAAACAAGCAAGCATACATATATACAAACAAACAAGCAAGCATACATATATACAGACAAACAAGCAAGCATACATATATACAGACAAACAAACAAGCATACATATATACAAACATACATACATAACTCAATCCTGTAACCTTTCCAAAATTCTTGAACTTGTGGAGTATTTCCATTTAGAACTGTGGTTTAGTGCTTCTTTTTTATAATAATAATAATAATAATAATCCATTTAAAACTTTGAAAAAAACAGTCTGGAAATTATTAGAGACTGGAGAGTCTTTCATATTGTGATATTTGAAAGTGTGACATTCCTGAAGTTGACCAATGAAGATAAAGATAAACATGATTTCCTTAAAATACAGTGAGGCTACATTTTTTGAAATACCAGTGGGATATTATTAGGTAAGGTTTGTTATTTACTTATTTTATTTTTATTTTTGTTACATATTAAATTTATTAGTAAACACTAAACCCATAAGGGTCATACAACTTACGAGGATTCTACTTTAGTGTGCGGTCTACCGCAGCATTCGTAGTCTACGAATGCTGCAAATGCTAATCTAAATGCCATGGGCTATCGCCATCTTTTTTACCTAACCTAACCTAACTGAGAAAAGATGCAGCTGATTTGTTTGTATAAAAGTGTTGGTAGACCACATGCTAGTGTAAATGAGCTGGTAGACCACATGCTAAAGTAGCACCCTTATGAGGGATAGAAGGTAATTAGGTTTCGTCAGAGGAAGGCATAGGTATCTTTTATTTACATAATGTGTAGACTAGTTAGAATGTATTATTGTACAAAAGTGACGTATCCACTAAAAGTGAGTCGGGTTTTCAAGCGGTGAAAATCCCTGATACTACTGTTATATACAGCATCAGTTATTTACTTATGTACAGTATCTATATTCTTTGGCAAATTATTATTTCATTTAGTAATTATTGAAGAATACAACATAGCTAAAAGTTGGAGATTTTCAACAGATGTAGTACTTTGCTGAATCTAATAATTTACTGTTTACCTGTCCACTCCTGGTAGATCATTTTAACTACTGCTATATACAGTACACTATATGCTTCATAAACTATAATGTAATAAAGTAAAGCTCAGAGTATTTGAACTGCCCAGAATTATAGTAATTAAGGTACCCTGAAAACACTTTATAACTGCTCACAATTTGCCCTTAATGCCCGGTAGTTGGAAGGCTATCACATATCTAATAACAGTATATTCTTTTCAGAAATGCACTAATTGCCTATGTGGCAAAGTTTCAACATGTTGAAAGTGTGTTGTGGAACAGTAGCAATATGTTTAAGAGGAGCCAGGGCAAGGGTACTCTGGCCTTCTCAAATCTGTGCACCGCCTTTTTCATTGGTGAGTTATGACCTTCATACATGATAGGATATTAACTGCAGCTGCTTTTGAGAATTACATTGTTAACATATGCCATTTGATCTGTTGGAAAGATCATTTTTTTTGCCTTGGGACTTGTCACTGTTAGGATATTCACTTCATAGAAACATTGCTTATAGGTGTAGGATTGATAATTACTGACACTTCTGCAATAGGAAAAATAAATTATCAGTGACATATTTTTTTTTTACTGCTAATAAGGATTTGTTCCAGATAGGATATTGTGAATTTTATTCATCTACATATATATACCATACTGGTACATCTGGTACTAGGTTCTCTTGTGAAGCTTATTCTTGAAGGGGTGGACACCTGTATATTCTTCTCCAGACATTTTGAATGCCTTCAGCTCTTAAATACAGTGGAACCACAGTTTTCGTGATTAATCCATTCGAAAAAGTCTGACGAAAATCGAATCGTATGAAAACTGAAGCAATATTTCCCATAAGAAATAAGGTAAATACAATTAATCCGTTCCAGACACCCAAAAATATTAATATACAGAAAAAAATGAGAATTTATTTTTTTTTTATTATCACACCGGCCGATTCCCACCAAGGCAGGGTGGCCCGAAAAAGAAAAACTTTCACCATCATTCACTCCATCACTGTCTTGCCAGAAGGGTGCTTTACACTACAGTTTTTAAACTGCAACATTAACACCCCTCCTTCAGAGTGCAGGCACTGTACTTCCCATCTCCAGGACTCAAGTCCGGCCTGCCGGTTTCCCTGAATCCCTTCATAAATGTTACTTTGCTCACACTCCAACAGCAAAGTCAATATTAAAAACCATTTGTCTCCATTCACTCCTATCAAACACGCTCACGCATGCCTGCTGGAAGTCCAAGCCCCTCGCACCAAAACCTCCTTTACCCCCTCCCTCCAACCCTTCCTAGGCCCCCCCCCTACCCCGCCTTCCTTCCACTACAGACTGATACACTCTTGAAGTCATTCTATTTTGCTCCATTCTCTCTACATGTCCGAACCACCTCAACAACCCTTCCTCAGCCCTCTGGACAACAGTTTTGGTAATCCCGCACCTCCTCCTAACTTCCAAACTACGAATTCTCTGCATTATATTCACACCACACATTGCCCTCAGACATGACATCTCCACTGCCTCCAGCCTTCTCCTCGCTGCAACATTCATCACCCACGCTTCACACCCATATAAGAGCGTTGGTAAAACTATACTCTCATACATTCCCCTCTTTGCCTCCAAGGACAAAGTTCTCTGTCTCCACAGACTCCTAAGTGCACCACTCACTCTTTTTCCCTCATCAATTCTATGATTCACCTCATCTTTCATAGACCCATCCGCTGACACGTCCACTCCCAAATATCTGAATACGTTCACCTCCTCCATACTCTCTCCCTCCAATCTGATATTCAATCTTTCATCACCTAATCTTTTTGTTATCCTCATAACCTTACTCTTTCCTGTATTCACCTTTAATTTTCTTCTTTTGCACACCCTACCAATTCATCCACCAATCTCTGCAACTTCTCTTCAGAATCTCCCAAGAGCACAGTGTCATCAGCAAAGAGCAGCTGTGACAACTCCCACTTTGTGTGTGATTCTTTATCTTTTAACTCCACGCCTCTTGCCAAGACCCTCGCATTTACTTCTCTTACAACCCCATCTATAAATATATTAAACAACCACGGTGACATCACACATCCTTGTCTAAGGCCTACTTTTACTGGGAAAAAAATTTCCCTCTTTCCTACATACTCTAACTTGAGCCTCACTATCCTCGTAAAAACTCTTCACTGCTTTCAGTAACCTACCTCCTACACCATACACTTGCAACATCTGCACATTGCCCCCCTATCCACCCTGTCATACGCCTTTTCCAAATCCATAAATGCCACAAAGACCTCTTTAGCCTTATCTAAATACTGTTCACTTATATGTTTCACTGTAAAACACCTGGTCCACACACCCCCTACCTTTCCTAAAGCCTCCTTGTTCATCTGCTATCCTATTCTCCGTCTTACTCTTAATTCTTTCAATTATAACTCTACCATACACTTTACCAGGTACACTCAACAGACTTATCCCCCTATAATTTTTGCACTCTCTTTTAAATCCCCTTTCCCTTTTAACAAAGGAACTATGCATGCTCTCTGCCAATCCCTAGGTACCTTACCCTCTTCCATACATTTATTAAATAATTGCACCAACCACTCCAAAACTATATCCCCACCTGCTTTTAACATTTCTATCTTTATCCCTTTCAATCCCGGCTGCCTTACCCCCTTTCATTTACCTACTGCCTCACGAACTTCCCCCACACTCACAACTGGCTCTTCCTCACTCCTACAAGATGTTATTCCTCCTTGCCCTATACACGAAATCACAGCTTCCCTATCTTCATCAACATTTAACAATTCCTCAAAATATTCCTTCCATCTTCCCAATACCTCTAACTCTCCATTTAATAACTCTCCTCTCCTATTTTTAACTGACAAATCCATTTGTTCTCTAGGCTTTCTTAACTTGTTAATCTCATTTCCAAAACTTTTCTTATTTTCAACAAAATTTGTTGATAACATCTCACCCACTCTCTCATTTGCTCTTTTTTTACATTGCTTCACCACTCTCTTAACTTCTCTCTTTTTCTCCATATACTCTTCCCTCCTTGCATCACTTCTACTTTGTAAAAACTTCTCATATGCTAACTTTTTCTCCCCCTTTCTACTCTCTTTACATCATCATTCCACCAATCGCTCCTCTTCCCTCCTGCACCCACTTTCCTGTAACCACAAACTTCTGCTGAACACTCTAACACTACATTTTTAAACCTACCCCATACCTCTTCGACCCCATTGCCTATGCTCTCATTAGCCCATCTATCCTCCAATAGCTGTTTATATCTTACCCTAACTGCCTCCTCTTTTTGTTTATAAACCTTCACCTCTCTCTTCCCTGATGCTTCTATTCTCCTTGTATCCCATCTACCTTTTACTCTCAGTGTAGCTACAACTAGAAAGTGATCTGATATATCTGTGGCCCCTCTATAAACATGTACATCCTGAAGTCTACTCAACAGTCTTTTATCTACCAATACATAATCCAACAAACTACTGTCATTTCGCCCTACATCATATCGTGTATACTTATTTATCCTCTTTTTCTTAAAATATGTATTACCTATAACTAAACCCCTTTCTATACAAAGTTCAATCAAAGGGCTCCCATTATCATTTACACCTGGCACCCCAAACTTACCTACCACACCCTCTCTAAAAGTTTCTCCTACTTTAGCATTCACGTCCCCTACCACAATTACTCTCTCACTTGGTTCAAAGGCTCCTATACATTCATTTTAAACATCTCCCAAAATCTCTCTCTCTCCTCTGCATTCCTCTCTTCTCCAGGTGCATACACGCTTATTATGACCCACTTCTCGCATCCAACCTTTACTTTAATCCACATAATTCTTGAATTTACACATTCATATTCTCTTTTCTCCCTTCCATAACTGATCATTTAACATTACTGCTACCCCTTCCTTTGCTCTAACTCTCTCAGATACTCCAGATTTAATCCCATTTATTTCCCCCCACTGAAACTCTCCTACCCCCTTCAGCTTTGTTTCGCTTAGGGCCAGGACATCCAACTTCTTTTCATTCATAACATCAGCAATCATCTGTTTCTTGTCATCCGCACTACATCCACGCACATTTAAGCAACCCAGTTTTATAAAGTTTTTTCTTCTTCTCTTTTTTAGTAATGTATACAGGAGAAGGGGTTACTAGCCCATTGCTCCCGGCATTTTAGTCGCCTCATACGACACGCATGGCTTACGGAGGAAAGATTCTTTTCCACTTCCCCATGGACAATAGAAGAAATAAAAAAGAACAAGAGCTATTTAGAAAAAGGAGAAAAACCTAGATGTATGTATATATATATATATATGCATGTGCGTGTCTGTGAAGTGTGACCAAAGTGTAAGTAGGAGTAGCAAGATATCCCTGTTATCTTAGCGTGTTTATGAGGCAGAAAAAGAAACCAGCAATCCTACCATCATGCAAAACAGTTACAGGTTTTTGTTTCACAGTCATCTGGCAGGACGGTAGTACTTCCCTGGGTGGTTGCTGTCTACCAACCTACTATATGACTAATGAAATGGATAAATGAACATTTAACATCACTTTTACCTTAATTGAAGACTCTTCTTGGTGTATGGAAGACAGCTAGGAGGGGAGAGGGAGAAGGAGAGGTTATTGTTTGGAAGGGGAATCCCTGTCCATAAGGAATTCAGGTATCAAGGCCCTATCTGGGGTTACTTCCCTTCTTTGTCTTTTACTGGCACTAAGACCAGCTTGAGTCACTGGACCCCTGTCACACAAAAAATCTGTCCAAAGAGGTCTGCTTCTGGTGCCTCTTTAAGATTTGCCTAAAATAGGACAAGGCATTGTCATTGAACATGTTGCAGACATGGGTTGCAACTGCCTTGCCTTTTTGCAAATTATCGCCTCCAAAACACTGTTTCCTGCTAACTGTTTTTCATTGATTCACACCAACAACTACTTCTCAACCTCTTCATTTGCTTGTGATCTCTGTTTCGTTAGCACATTTGCCCCTTTTGCAACATCAGCTTCCTTGATTTCTTCTTTCTTGACCAGGATGGAACTGATCGTTGGTGCGAACTTCCCGTACATCCTGGCGAGATTGGCCACAAGTACACCACTTTTGTACTTTGCTACGAGTTCTTTCTTGAATTCTATCGTGTTTCTCGCCTTCTTTATCAAAGGGCTGGCGCTTCGAGCTTTCTTTGGCCCCATGGTGGCTAGCAATCGCACTCAATAAACAAGCACAAAAAACAATGGATTATTACAAAATGTTTCGGATGAACGCGCGGGGTGATGCTCACTCAACGAGAAACAAAGGCAGACTGAGTTATGAATGCATGGGATGCTTTGTGTGGGCGCTTGAGTGGCCGAGTCACGTGGGGAAGTGGACAAGTTTTTTATGGATCATTTTCAGCTTTACGAGAACTGAGCAGATGTATGAAAACTGGGACAAAATTTCGATGAAAAAAGTCGTCGAAAACTGAATCCTGCGAAAACTAGGGAACACAAAAACCGAGGTTCCACTTTACAAGAAAACACGTCTAACAATTCTACAGTGGTATGCTTATCATTCAGATGGAGAATCAAGCCTCCACCTCTTCATGCACTGAATGACTCTCACATATTTTGTGTTTAACATAAATTAAATCATCTTCATTTTTTATTTCAATCTTTTTCCTTTAGCACTGGTGGTTCCACCAGGGTGCTTAAGCTTTAGTGCTTCACATGAATTTAAAAAAATGTTATTCAGGTGAAGTTCTAGCTTGCTTACTATGATCATCAAGAGTAAAGATTATAGAAGGGCTAAAGATTATCTTCAGCAAGGACATACAAGTGAGAAAGTAGAAAAGATGGACCTCAAAAAGGAAAGAGGAAATGTTATGAGAAAGAAGACAAGAAATTGGAAAATAATACTGCACAGTACTATATTTACAGTATTAAAATAGCAAATGTGAAGATATTCAAAGAATTATAATGGAGAAAGTGTTACTCTCATTTTACTTCAACTTTGGTGGTGTTTTTATGGTCATTCAAGGCCATCTAGTATATTACAGAAATATTATATACAGTACAGTATTACTAAGAGGATTTTTATTTTTCAGAGTGAGACCTGTCATCTAAGGTTAACCACCACCGCCACTACCATCAGCAGCTGGGGACCATTAGAAAATCAAGACACTGCTAGTATTCCAACTTCTGTAAATGAGACAAAGACCTTAGAAAATCAAGATACTCCTAGCAACCTTTCATCTATTAATGATGCAAAGGATGTTCCAGTCCTTTTACAAGCAGCCACTGATGGAGATTCATACCCTTCTGCATTTCAGGTATACAGTCAGTTACTTCATTTTCAGTGCTAGTTTTTAAAAATTGTCAGTTATGTGTTCTCAGGAGTTTTCTTTTTTACACTACTGAATTTGCAGGCCAATTGTTGTTATCCTACCTTAGATCATTTCAGAGCCTAGTCCTAGGTATACTACCACTCCTTCCTGTTCCCCTCTCCTCAGGTAGTGACCCACAACAGTTGGGTATCACCCTGGGGCAACAGGTATAAGAAAACATTCATTACATCTTCACTTGCCCCAGGACTGAAACTGGATCCAATGGTTGTGAGCCAACAGTGCTGTCGCTGAGCTACGAGCAGATTTCCTTGTCTGTATTGTCTCGCCATGAAAATTTCATTTTAAGTAAACTGTACTCTAAGTTCAAAATCTGTTTAAGTAATACACTTCAGCCCATTCAATAGCCTTCAGATTGTTTCTCAATATAAATATTTTTGTTAACACATCAGCTGTCTCCCACTGAGGTATGGTGACTCAAAAAAAAAAAAAAAAAAAAGAAACATAATCACCGTCATTCATTCACTTGCTGCTTTGCCAGAAGTGTGCTGATACCACAGTTGAGATGACCCTCAGAACTGCAATGTGATCACCCCTTTTTTAGAGTGGAGGGCTCAAAGTCCATTAAACTGCTTTCCCTTGAATCCCTTCATAAATGTTATGGTGCTCACACTCCAACAGCAAGTTACCCCATAAAAACCACATCTATCCACTCCAGTCTAACATGCTCACATAAGCCTATTGGATGTTCAAGCCCCTAGCACTACAGACCTCCTTCACCCTCTCCTTAATCCTTTCCTGGGGTGACTTCCTATCTTTCCTACCTGAACCACCTCAATAACTCCTCCTCAGTCCTCTGAATTATGGCACACCATCTGCTAATCTTCATGCTAAGAATTCTGTGCATAATATTAACACCACACATTGCTCTGAAACATGACATCTTCACTGTTTCCAGCCTTCTCCTTGCTACATCATTTAAAGCCCATGTTTCACACTTACATTCTCTGGTAAAGTCCCCTCTTTATTTGCCCTTTATAAATGAACTTCTGTCCTCAGATGCCTTAAAACACCACCTACATTTTTTCCCCTCATTCTCTGGCTCGCCTTATCTTTTATAGGTTCACGTATTGACATGTCCACTCCCAAATATCCGAATACATTCACTTTCTACATGCTCCCTCTCCAATCTGATGTACAATCTTTCATTCCTTAGATTTTTTTTTTAAATCATCACCTTGTTCTTCTGAAGTTTTACATACCCTCCCAAATTCTTCTACCAATCTTTGCAACCTCTCTTCAGAATCTCCCAAAATAACTCCATCATCGGCAAATAACAACTATGGCAATTCCCACTTTGTGTCAGATTCATTATCTTTTAATCCCACATCTCTCCCCAACAACCTAGCATGCACCAGGGATGTGTAATGGTGATATTACACATCTCTATCTAAGACCCGCTTTTACTTAGAAATAATACGAAGTACTGTAATGCAAAATTATTAGCCAGTGATTAAACAAGATAATTTTTAAATATATGTATTTTGTTTACATTTTTTCTTGTAGATTTGATAATTTTTTTTTTTTTTTCAACAAGTCGGCCATCTCCCACTGAGGCAGGGTGACCCAAAAAGAAAGAAAATCCCCAAAAAGAAAATACTTTCATCATCATTCAACACTTTCACCTCACTCACACATAATCACTGTTTTTGCAGAGGTGCTCAGAACACAACAGTTGAGAAGCATATACATATAAAGATACACAACATATCCCTCCAAACTGCTAATATCCCAAAATCCCTCCTTTATAGTGCAGGCATTGTACTTCCCATTTCCAGGACTCGAGTCCGGCTATATAAAAATAACCGGTTTCCTTGAATCCCTTCACTAAATATTACCCTGCTCACACTCCAACAGATCGTCAGGTCCCAAATACCATTCGTCTCCATTCACTCCTATCGAACACGCTCATGCACGCCTGCTGGAAGTCCAAGCCCCTCGCCCACGGAACCTCTCTTACCCCTTCCTTCCAACCTTTTCGAGGACAAACTCTACCCCGCCTTCCTTCTCCTACAGATTTAAATGCTCTCCATGTCATTCTACTTTGATCCATTCTCTCTAAATGACCAAACCACCTCAGCAACCCCTCTTCAGCCCTCTGACTAAATCTCCATCATATATTTAAGTTTTTAATTGGTACTTTAAGATGGAAAATTTAGCAGTTCTCCTATGTCCTTCACAGGCATGGGCTAGTATAGCAAGTTCACAAAGTATGCATAATGATATGCACCATACAGCAGAATTTTAGACTTGGGGATTAATTGAAATAATCATATCACTGTTTTATAAGGGAGCAAGGGGCTAGTAACCCCTTCTCCTGTATATATTACTAATTTTAAAAGGAGAAACTTTTGTTTTTCCTTTCGGGTCACCCTGCCTCAGTGAGATACGGTCGGTTTGTTGAAAGAAGTAGAACTGTTTTATAAATCGTTAAATAATATTCATATTTCCTTGACAGGGTCTTCATATTCTCTCTGACTGGGTTTCCAACAAGAAGATTGATTTTAAAAAGGATGTTGAGACTGAGGAACAGTTCACAAAGTAAGGATTCATTATAGTATAAATATGCATTCATTTTAAGTAGAGCTAGAATAATTGAAGAGTGCAAAGAATTAAGAAAGTGATGTAGATGTATGGAATAGGTTTGTGACTGAGATATTCAACAGAATCAGGAGCCAGCATTGTTGCAGTATACATATTTACTTTCATATATGTATATATTCTAAATAACATCTTAGTGAGATATTGCCTGTGTTAAAAAATATATTTCCAAATAATTTTTCTATTTTATTTCATAATTTTTCTTTTCAGATTAATAAACTTGATTGATGCAGGAACAGTACGAAGCACCCCTTCATCTCTATTAGCTGCACTGAGGAGTTTGATGAATCTTGGAGTAAACAGTGACACCCATGTGGTAGAGGTTTGTTTTAACAGCATGGCTATTCAGGCCTTGTGGTAAAATCTTCACATTTGTTACCTGTCTCGTGCATCATTTTATCCTTCCCTTTGTAATGTCCTTCATTCCATTCATTCTCTTCTTAAAATACTTCAACATATTTTGCTCAGCTTGATAGCCGTATGTTAACTTTTCTCCATATAAATTGCATTTCTTGTACATCTCATAAGAACCATTCCTCACACACACTTATTTATTTTAGTATGTGTGGGATATATTGTGTATTTTTATACGTATATACTTTTAAACTGTTGTATTCTGGGCACCTCTGCAAAAACAGTGATTATGTGTGAGTGAGGTGAAAGTGTTGAATGATGATGAAAGTATTTTCTTTTTGGGGATTTTTCTTTCTTTTTGGGTCACCCTGCCTCGGTGGGAGACGGCCGACTTGTTGAAAAAAAAAAAAAAGGTGTGTGTTTATTGTTATCATACACCAAACCATTTTTCACCCTAGTATGTGAATTTAGACCAAATATAATTACAGTGGACCCCCGCGAATTCGAGGTTCTGAATTCATGGCTTCAGTAATTTGTGGATTTTTCCTTAGAACCTACCTAATAATTGCTTGCAGAAATCCTTGCAAATTCGCGAAATTTTTTTTTGGCTTTTTTCGTGGCAATATATAATTTTATGTGTTTTAACGCTAAATATTAAGAAAAATATAATTTAATAATTTTGTAAAGTAAGTATTAACATAAATTCAGCAAAATTTCCATACATTTAACTTTACTTTTACTAAATTAATTCTTACCGTATATTTACCGTACATATACCAAAGAAAACAGTTGCATGAATTTGAATATACCAAAGAAAACTGGCTTGCATGAATTACAGTACATATGAGGGTAACATCGGTATTTTACATTCTGGCACTGCGGGAGACATAGCAGTACAGTCCTGTATATGGGTTTATCTTTACATTTTTTTTTTTTTTTTTTTTAAGGGTGATGTATGAAGCTGAGTTTGAAATTAAATTAGTGTTTTGGGGGCATATTTAGGGTTTAAACTATAAAAATAGGCATTTTTTTAACAGTGTTCAGAATTCGGGTTTTTTCCAAATTCGTGGGTTGTCTTGGAATGTAACCACCGTGAATTTGGGAGGACTACTATACTATAAATATAAAATTCAGAAGACTAGAATCAGAATTTTTTTTTACATTTTTTCCACTGACAAATATCCTTTAATGAAATTTTTTTGGTTACACATTCCTCTGGTTGATGAATAGGATAAATGCAACTCTAGGGTATCTATTGCTGAAATGCTTCTGCTTCTTGCTGCTTTAGTTAAATACAGGTTAACATAACAGTTAAGAGAGTAGTACAGGTCCACCATCACAAATCTGGCATCATTGGGACCTGTAGTGTGCTGGATTACTGAGTTTGCCAGATTACAGAGTGGTTAGGTTAGAATACACTTAATAAAATTAACCAACTTGACTTACACAAGAAAGTTCATTGAACATCGGCAAAAATCGAACATTTCCGCTACTTTGAGCTCAATTTCTAGGTACTTTTTGTTGTGAAACCAATCAAAATCATATCTATTTCTGTAATATATTTTTCATTATATCAAATGACGCCAAAAAACCAAGAATGCAACCATCAAAACCATACGAAAATATACCGTCATTTGTTTTCTCTTGAACATTGCCAAAGAATCGAACATTGGCACTACTTTGAGCTCAATTTCAAGGTACTTTTCGTCATGAAAGCAATCAAAATCATATCTATTTCTGTAATATATCTTCCATTCTATCAAATGAGACCAAAAAAAAAAACGAGAATACAACTATAAAAACCATACAAAAATATATTGCTATGAGGCCGCTAATGGCTAAGAAGTGAACTCCGTTATTTATTTTCTGATTTCTTTCATTTTTAATGTACATTAAGAAGCATTTTTTCATCATACATTGCCCATGTTTCAGTAAGATAGCCCAAGAAACAACTGAGAGAAAAAAATAATTATAATAATAATAATATCTTTTTTTTTTTTTTTTTTTTTTTTCAACAAGTCGGTCGTCTCCCACCGAGGCAGGGTGACCCCAAAAAAAAGAAAGAAAATCCCCAAAAAGAAAATACTTTCATCATCATTCAACACTTTCACCACACTCACACATCATCACTGCTTTTGCAGAGGTGCTCAGAATATAACAGTTCAGAAGCATATACGTATAGAAATACACAACACATATATTATATCTTTATTTACTACAAATAAATGTACATGGTATACAGGCCTAGCTGACATCAGTGACATACTACTATATAGAAAGCCCCTTGTTATGCTAAGCATTTCAGGCAAATTAGGTCAGTGTCCCAGGATAAGACCCACACCAGTCCACTAACACCCAGGTACCCATTTACTGATGGGTGAACTTAGACAACAGGTGTAAAGAAACGCACCCAATGTTTCTACCCTGGCTGGGAATCGAATATTTACCAAAAATCATATATGGCTAGCCCAAGCCAGGTATTAGAAATAGACCACTTTGTCTGATTTTTTTGGGCTATCCTAGGTTCTCTACACATATGCTGCTGTGTGAGATAATCTATGTAGAGAAAATAGCTTTTTTGTTTGTTTTATGGTGCAGTATGAGTGTATATCACACTTAGCCCTTTGCTATACTCTGTTTTCTCTAATACAAGCCCCCAAGATAGGGATAGGAGAATAGTACTTGTATCCCATATCCTCTTCATACCTCTGTCGAACTGCTCGGTATTATGCCAAATATTATTCATTCTGGAATATTTAACATGTTTTTATGTTATTTATATTGTTTATTTAATGTCATATTAGATCAATTGTGATAGGCAAATAAGCCATAATGTTGATATTAACATAATAATAAAGCATATTCCCCTGCATCATAAGACTGAGCTCTTGGCAACCGACAGTGACTTAAAAGCCACCTTATCTTTAATGGACAATGTACTGTGTAGGTGCTTTACACAACGAGAAGCATTTCTTTTATTCGTTGGAACTATGGCTAGGGCTAAAAGTAAGCAGGTTATAACAACAAATGGAGAAAACGAAATTGGAATGACTTATGCAGCAAGTAGCGCCACCAAACAGTACCAGCAGGTTGGTGTGGCAACCCTGGAAATTTGAAATTATGCTAACCAAAATTAGTGCTGAATAACTGATGGAACCAGATGTCTGATTGCCAGATTTGTGATGATGGACCCGTAGTAGTGTTGAGGTGATCCCTCCTTCAAGCTTGAAGCTTGAGTTCTCCTGTGTAAGGAGCATACTTAAATATAAAATTTCATTCTGATTGGAGTGATAGTTTTGAAAATGTCAGTTGATTTCTTCAAAATAGTATTATCACCATAACTGATGTACATTTTGGTGTGAAACTAACACACAACTCGTGTAAACCAGTTCCCAATTGGCAAACAGTAAAATATTTGCTATGTGGTTACTTGACTAATTTTGAGAGTTCTACTCGCACACATCAGCCTGAGACTAGAATTTTCTGTTGACTGCCGTGACTGACCAGGTTGTTGCTGTCTATAGCATCCAGGCCTACATAGCCATGATTACGTGGCTGATCTGGCACTTACAGGAACTGCTCCAGTTTCATCTTGAAAACTTTTGTCATTGTTCTGGCAATAGTGTTCTTATATCTCCTGGTAAAAGGTTGAAGAGTTATCAGCCATGTATGTAGACAGTGTTCTTGTGAAATTGTAAATACATAATGTATGTACTGTAATTACCAGATGAAGTCTCCTAAAGAAAACAAGTCAAAGAAATGTAAACATCATATGATGAATATTTATGAATAGCATCATATCTCAATAGCATAACACATTGTAAATAGTAATAAGTGTTTTTAATTAATGGTTTTACCCTTTTTTCAGTCGATTGAAAATCAGCTGTTATGGAATATTCGGAAGGTATCTTTCCCGATGCTAATATCTATAATGGTCTTTCAAGTACAGTATCAGGATACAGTACTACAGAAAAAGGTGAATTATTTTTGTCCAGTTAAATATCTTGTTGTGTTGATATTTTTTTCCCCAATGTCTTACAACTTTTTTGTAGGTGTAAGGCAAAGCTAAGATAAGAAAACCAATACTGTAAATAGTTCTATATGTTAAGAGTGAAAGTGGTGAGATGATGAATGAAAAGGTACAGACACAGCATACCAGATTACAAGTACAGTTGACCCTTGAACAGCATGGGTTTGAACTGCACGAGTCCACTTGCATGTGAATTTTTTCAATAAATATATTTTCAGGCCACCCTGCCTTGGTGGGAGATGGCCGATGTGTTTATAAAAAAAAAATATATTTGAAAATTTTTTGGAGATTAGCAACTGAAAATTTTTAAAAAGTTAGCTATGCCATTTATATTTTTTTTAACACATCGACCGTTTCCCACTAAGGTAGGGTGAATGATGGTGAGTTTCACCATTATTCACTCCATCACTGTCTTGCCAGAGGCACTTTTATGTCATGAATACATAAAATTTGTATAGATATTAGTCTATTTTATCATTTCCTCCCACAAAAATATACCGGGCTGTGGTTCGTACATTGGACTATGTGCAACCAGCAGTAACAGCCTGGTTGATCAGGCCCTGGTCCACCGGGAGGCATGGTTGTGGACCGGGCCGCGGGGGCATTGATCCCCAGAATAACCTCCAGGTATAGATCCGCGGGTTCAATCCCGGCCGGGGGTATGGTTTATTTGCAATCGTGTCATTACGATTTCTTGAGTCATAGATCCAGTGGCAGTATATATATAATTGGGGCCCTGATATTATATTCTATAGGGAATTTATTATATTATTTCAGGTCACTTTTTATATTGTATCTTTATATATGCTTCTAAACTGTTGTATCTGGGCACCACTGCAAAAACAATGATTATGTATGAGTGAGGTGAAAGTGTTGAATGATGATGAAAGTATTTTCGTTTTGGGGATTTTCTTTCTTTTTGGATCACCCTGCCTAGGTGGGAAACAGCTGATGTGTTGAAAACAAAAAAAATCCAGTGGCGGCTCGTAGCTAAAATTAGTGGAGGTACTGCTTCAGAAAATTTTTAGCTATTGTTTTAATTTTTTTTTTTTTTTTTCTCTCAACAAGTCGGTCGTCTCCCACCGAGGCAGGGTGACCCAAAAAAGAAAGAAAATCCCCAAAAAGAAAATACTTTCATCATCATTCAACACTTTCACCACACTCACACATTATCACTGCTTTTGCAGAGGTGCCCAGAATACAACAGTTTAGAAGCATATACGTATAAAGATACACAACATATCCCTCCAAACTGCCAATATCCCAAACCACTCCTTTAAAGTGCAGGCATTGTACTTCCCATTTCCAGGACTCAAGTCCGACTATATGAAAATAACTGGTTTCCCTGAATCCCTTCACTAAATATTACCCTGCTCACACTCCAACAGATCGTCAGGTACCAAGTACCATTCGTCTCCATTCACTCCTATCTAACACGCTCACGCACGCTTGCTGGAAGTCCAAGCCCCTTGCCCACAAAACCTCCTTTTCCCCCTCTCTCCAACCCTTTTGAGGATGACCCCTACCCCGCCTTCCTTCCCCTATAGATTTATATGCTTTCCATGTCATTCTACTTTGATCTATTCTCTCTAAATGACCAAACCACCTCAACAACCCCTCTTCTGCCCTCTGACTAATACTTTTATTAACTCCACACCTTTTCCTAATTTCCACACTCCAAATTTTCTGCATAATATTTACACCACACATTGCCCTTAGACAGGACATCTCCACTGCCTCCAACCGTCTCCTCGCTGCTGCATTTACCACCCAAGCTTCACATCCATATAAGAGTGTTGGTACTACTATACTTTCATACATTCCCTTCTTTGCCTCCATAGATAACGTTTTTTGACTCCACATATACCTCAACGCACCACTCACCTTTTTTCCTCTCATCAATTCTATGATTAACCTCATCCTTCATAAATCCATCCGTCGACACGTCAACTCCCAAGTATCTGAAAACATTCACTTCTTCCATACTCCTCCTCCCCAATTTGATATCCAATTTTTCTTTATCTAAATCATTTGACACCCTCATCACCTTACTCTTTTTCTATGTTCACTTTCAACTTTCTACCTTTACACACATTCCCAAACTCATCCACTAACCTTTGCAATTTTTCTTTAGAATCTCCCATAAGCACAGTATCATCAGCAAAAAGTAACTGTGTCAATTCCCATTTTGAATTTGATTCCCCAAAATTTAATCCCACCCCTCTCCCGAACACCCTAGCATTTACTTCCTTTACAACCCCATCTATAAATATATTAAACAACCATGGTGACATTACACATCCCTGTCTAAGACCTACTTTTACCGGGAAGTAGTCTCCCTCTCTTCTACACACCCTAACCTGAGCCTCACTATCCTCATAAAAACTCTTTACAGCATTTAATAACTTACCAACTATTCCATATACTTGCAACATCTGCCACATTGCTCCTCTGTCCACTCTATCATATGCCTTTTCTAAATCCATAAATGCAATAAAAACTTCCCTACCTTTATCTAAATACTGTTCACATATATGCTTCAATGTAAACACTTGATCTACACATCCCCTACCCACTCTGAAACCTCCTTGCTCATCCGCAATCCTACATTCTGTCTTACCTTTAATTCTTTCAATTATAACCCTACCGTACACTTTTCCTGGTATACTCAGTAAACTTATTCCTCTATAATTTTTACAGTCTCTTTTGTCCCCTTTCCCTTTATATAAAGGGACTATACATGCTCTCCGCCAATCCCTAGGTACCTTCCCCTCTTTCATACATTTATTAAACAAAAGTACTTTTACTGGGAAATAATCTCCCTCTTTCCTACATACTCTTACTTGAGCCTCACTATCCTCATAAAAACTCTTCACTGCTTTCAGTAACCTACCTCCTATACCATACATCTGCAACATCTGCCACATTGCCCCTCTATCCACCCTGTCATAAGCCTTTTCCAAATCCATAAATGCCACAAAAACCTCTTTAGCCTTATCTAAATACTGTTCATTTATATGTTTCACTGTAAACACCTGACTGGAAAATCAGCTAGCCAGACTTGAGTCCTGGAAATGGGAAGTACAATGCCTGCATTTTAAAGGAGGGGTTTGGTATATTGGCAGTTTGAAGGGACATCTAAACTGTTGTATCGAGTGCCTCTACAAAGACAATGATTATGTATGAGTGATAGTGAAAGTGTTGAATGATGATGAAAGATTTTTTCTTTCTTTTTGTGTCACCCTGCCTTGGTGGGAAACAGCCGACATGTAAAAAAAAAAAAAAATTATTATTATAGTACATTGTTTGGAGAATGAGAGGTTATCATGTTTGATCCAAAGAAGGGAATATCTGATTCCATTGATCAAGAGACTGTCACCAGCATCAAGTCACTTCCCCTTTGAAGGGATATGTAACAACTTCCCACACGTTCTTTAGGGATTCATAGTGTTGGACTCGTTTAATAGACCCCAGTTTGAATCCCCGACAAACCTGTGGAATGAACAGTTCAGTGTTAGTGAAACTTCAGATATAAGAGATGTTTATTTTGCTTGATTTTTTCTAATTTTCTAAATTTAATGATAGCATTATTCTTTCAGGTACTAAAAGAATCTTTGGAAGCTTTACAAAGAAGATGGACTGAAATCAAAGGAGCATCAGAAATTGAAGCATTTTATAACCATCTTGATTTATTTTCCTCTGAGTTTCTTGGACACCTGGATGATCGCAGTATTGAATTAGCTGGAGAGATGAGCTTCGTGGAACTAAGCAGAGTGTTCTGTGTCCTGGGAAAAATCAAACGACGTGCATCACCTGTTTTAAGAGCACTGTCATTCCACATGGCAAAACAAGAAGAAAAATTAACTGCAAAGCAACTTTGTAATGTTTTATTTGCCATGAATTCCCTGAGTTTTCCAGATGTAGTTTTATTAGAAAAAGTGGCAAATGATTTGATTCCACAGGTTGCCAACATAGATAACCCAAATATAGTGAGTTCTATTCTTTTTTGTATGGGACAGATGCGATGGAGATATACAAGTCTACTGGAAGTTTTATCAGAGTGGGTTGAGAAAAACGTGCAAATCTGCTCCATGATTAATCTTGGTGCTATAATCATTACACTGGCATGTGTCTCATATGTCCCAGCAAATGCTGAAACTTTGTTCAGTGAGCTTATTCCAAAACTTAATCCCTCAGGATTTTCAAGAAAGACAACGTGGTTGGATGTTGTATGGTCCTTGTCTGTATTAGGTAGAGCAACAGGATGGCATATATCCTCTGTTTTGCATCCAGATTTTGTTAAAAATCTCCCAGGTGCAGAGGAACACCTGTGGATTGGGGTCAAACCTAAGCTTCTCAACATTAATGCAGTGGCACAGCTAAACATGCCTTCATATAAAGGTCCTTATCTTGACATGACAAATTTTAAAGATGTAATAATTTCCAAGAACAGGGATGACATAAAGCTCTCCAAACATATTCAAATCACTTTGCACAACTTTCTCCCTCCACCCAAATACATTCGAGAAAATATCCAGACTTCTATGGGAATCTTTGTAGATGTTGAGTTGGCAGCTGATAAGAAAGGAAAACCCATACCAATTCAAGATTACAGTAATAATTTTGGAGAATCGGAGAGCTCACAGCCATTACCTGAAGGTGCTGTGAAGTTAGCTATGTTTATATGGGGTTATAAAGACTACACTATTGGTACTCAGGAACTAATCGGAGTTAATAAGTTGGCTGTACAGTTAGTAGAAAGAAAAGGGTACAGGGCATTACAAATTCCTTTTTATGAATATAATATGAAGGCAAAGACGCTGAAAAATGTACAGTATCTTGAAGGTAAAATCAAAGACATCGTAGAGTCGTGAAATTATTGAACTAAAAGATTTTATCGTGTACATAAAGTTTGAGTATTGTCTTTATGAATGTATTAAAAGCAAAGAGGTTCTTAATAAAATATTAAATACTACAATGCTTATTTATTCAGTTTTACCATAAGATTTCTTCACATTTTTTTAACACCCTGGTCGTCTTCCACTGAGGTAAAGTGACCTGACAAAGAAAACTCTTTCACTGTCACTCATTGAATCACTATTTTGCTAAATGGGTGCCAACATCACAGTGCAGATGACTCCTCCAGACAGCAATATCACCCCTCCTTCAAGGTGCAGGCGCTCTACTTTCATCCTCCAGGACTTTGGCTAACTGGTTTTCCGTGAATCCCTTTATAAATGTTACCTTTCTCACACTCCAACAGCATGTCAAATCATAAAAACCCCTTGCCTCCATTTCTTTCTAACATGCTCACACACACCTTCATTTAAAACTTCCTTTACCCCCTCCCTCCAACGTTTCCTAGGGCAACCCTTGCCCTTCCTTCTCTCCAATGCAGATTAATACACCTTCCAAGTCATCCTATTTTGCTCCATCCTCTCTTAATAATTAAATCGCCTCAACAATGCCTCCTCAGTTCTCTGGATAATACTTTTAGTAATCCAGCACCTCCTAATCTCCAAACTATGAATTCTCTGCATAATATTTACATGTATTGCTCTCAGACATGATATCTCCACTGCCTCCTGCCTCATCCTGCAACATTCACAAACTGTGCTTCACACTCATAGAAACGTGTTGTTACCACTATACTCTCATACATTTCCCTTTTGCCTCCATGGATAATGTTCTTGGTCTCCACAGATGCCTCAATGCACCATCCATCTTTTTTCCCTCATCAGTTCTATAGTTCACTGTCTTTCTTAGGTCCATCTGCCGACAAGTCCACTCCCAAATATCTGAACACATTCACTTCTTCCATACTCTCTCCTTTCAAGCTGATATCCACTCTTTCATTACCTAAATTTCTTGTTACTCTTAATACTTTGTTCTTTCCCATGTTCACTTTTAATTTCATTCTTTTACATTCCCTCCTAAATTTGTCCATCAACCTCTGGAACTTCTCTTCAGAATCTCCCAAGAGCAGTGTCATTGGCTAAAGCAACTGTGATGACTCCCACTTTGTATTAAGTTCTATACATTTTAATACCACACTTCTCCCCAACACCCTAGCATTCACTTCTTTTACAACCCTGTCTATAAATATGTTAAATAACCATGGTGACATCATGCATCCCTGTCTAAGGATTTCTTTCAATGGTAAATGATCTCCCCTCCTTCCTACATACCCAAACCCGAGCCTCACTACCCTCATAAAAAAGCTTAACTGCTTTCAGTAACTTACCACCTATTCAATATACATCCAACATCCCCCCCCCAGGGAGGTTCCTTGATGCTAGTGAGGGGCTCTTGATCTAAGGAATTGGATCTGTGCTCCAGTTCCCTGAATTAAGCCTGAATACCTTCCATCCCCATCCCCACAGGCACTATAATCCTATGGATTTAGCACTTCCCCATGATTATAATAATAATCCAACATCTTCCACACTGCTTCCCTATCCACCCCTATCATATGCATTTTCTAGATTCATATATGTAATGAAAATTTCCTTACTTTTACTTAAATATTATTTACTTATATGATTTAATGTAAACGCTTGGTTTATATATCCCCTACCCTTCCAAAAGCTTCCCTGCTCATCTGCAATCCTTCTCTCCCTTTTACTTTCAATTCTTTCAATAATATCTCTACCATACACTTACTCTTTTATTCCCCCTTTCCTTTATACAAGGGAACTATGCACCCTCTTTGCCAATCCCTAGGTACCTCCCTCTTTCATCATTTACTTAACTAAAGTACCAACCACTCCAAAACTATATTACCACCTGCTTTTAACATTTCTGTCTTGATCCCATGAATTCTAGCTGATTCATTCCCTCTCATTTTACCCACTGCCTCATGCATCTCCCTCACTTACAGCTGGCTCTTCTTCACTCATGCAGGGCCTGGGGAATGGGAGGCAGTGAAGTCCAATCCAAGGAACAGGAGGGTAAATTCAATTCCTTGGATCAAGAACCCTTCACTGGCATCAAAAGAAAATGTACCTACTGAAGTACAGAGTAACACAGAAGGTATAAAAAATTTGTACACTTGGCAGAACAGAATATTCAGAGGTGAATAATACAGCAATTGTGCAATACGGACCTGGTAAAATATTACATGTAAATTATATTCACATGGCCCCTAGACTTATGGCAGCATTATTTTATAAGTAAATATTTGATTTCTTTTTGAGATACTTATGACCAATAGTGGAATACTCAGTGCTTCTAAGGCACAATAATAAATTTTGAAAGATCTAGACCCCACAATCAATCAATCAAGTTTATTCTCTAAGGATTACAATACGGGGTTTACAGATTTTGGATATTGTGTGGTTTACATGTTTTAAAATACTAATTACAGAGGGGGCCACTGGGACACCTAGCATGGCTAGGCATTTCTGAGGGAGGTTCTTTGACGCTGGTGAAGGGTTCTTGATCTAGGGAATTGGATATGTGCTACAGTTCCCTGAATTAAGCCTGAATACCTTCCATCCCCCCCCCCAACAGGCGCTGTATAATCCTACGGGTTTAGCGCTCCCCATAATAATAATGAAAGATCTAGAGGTCTGCCTTTCAAATGGTGGTCCCTGAAATATATGAGTTGAAATATGAAGATGTACGATATCATTATTACTGAAGGAGGGGCGGGCACGTTGCAGTCAGAGGATAATTTGAATTGTGACGTTAACTCACTTCTGACAAAGTGACTTGAGTGAATGAAGGTGACTGTTTCCTTCTTCGGATTACCTTACCTTAGCAGAAGATGGTTGTTGAGATATAATAATAATATAACTATTACTACTACTACTCCTTGCAGGTTTAGCGTTTCTTTTTTATTATAATTACTACTACTACAAAAGTACTATTGCATACTTGGGGGAGCGCTCACCACGTAAGGGTTATACAGAGCCTGGAGGAATGGAAAGTAATAGGGTTCGATCCATGGAAAGGGAAGCTAGATCCGATACCTTGGATCATGAGTCCCTCGACGGGAATCAAGGCACCTTGAAGGGCCTGCAAGGTATTGATCTCCAGCTCCCGGGCCTTTCCAGGGAGTTTAACTGCAGGTCCTCTGCTACGTGAGGGTTCCGAGAGATGTTCAACTATTATGCCTGCTGCCTGGGTTGAGATAGAGGGGGCTGGGTTAAGGACTACGGGGCTGGGTTAAGGACTACGGGGCTGGGTTAAGGGATATGGGGCTGGGTTAAGGACTACGGGGCTGGGTTAAGGGATACGGGGCTGGGTTAAGGACTACGGGGCTGGGTTAAGGGATACGGGGATGGGTTAAGGACTACGGGGCTGGGTTAAGGACTACGGGGATGGATTAAGGACTATTACCTGGAGTTTACCTGGAGGTAATAGTCCTTATGGGGATGGGTTAAGGACTACGGGGATGGGTTAAGGACTACGGGGATGGGTTAAGGACTACGGGGATGGGTTAAGGACTACGGGGATGGGTTAAGGACTACGGGGATGGGTTAAGGACTACGGGCTGGGTTAAGGACTACGGGGATGGGTTAACGAGTACGGGGATGGGTTAAGGACTACGGGGATGGGTTAAGGAGTACGGGGATGGGTTAAGGAGTACGGGGATGGGTTAAGGAGTACGGGGATGGGTTAAGGACTACGGGATGGGTTAAGGAGTACGGGATGGGTTAAGGAGTACGGGGATGGTTAAGGAGTACGGAGATGGGTTAAGGAGTACGGAGATGGGTTAAGGAGTACGGGGATGGGTTAAGGAGTACGGGGATGGGTTAAGGAGTACGGGGATGGGTTAAGGAGTACGGGGCTGGGTTAAGGAGTACGGGGCTGGGTTAAGAACTACGGGGCTGGGTTAAGAACTACGGGGCTGGGTTAAGAACTACGGGGCTGGGTTAAGAACTACGGGGCTGGATTAAGAACTACGGGGCTGGGTTAAGAACTACGGGGCTGGGTTAAGAACTACGGGAATACCTTCCTGGATAACTCAGCGACAGAAGCTAGTCACCACCCAACTGTAGTTCCTCGGTAATTTGTTCAAAAAGCAATGCCACACGCTCAGAACAAACACCTTTTCTCATCCCGGTAAAAAATAGATTGTGTTATTTGCATTATAAAGTTCTAACGGTGTTGGGAGGTACGTGAGGCGGAGATTTTATCACCTGGAGGCAGGAGGTGTGGTTATCAGGCAGGACAAACACCAGTGCTGTGAACAACGTCTCCACCGTAATGGACATGCACCAGCATAATAAAAATACAAGTTAAATGTTCACTCGATCGTTTTACCGCTAGTGCCATTAAAGGAAGAAAGAGGTAAAAAAGAAATGTGAAATGTATAATGTGGTTTAATGCAATAAAATATGATTGAGGAAGGTAAATATGGGCAGTTCACACTGAATATGCTGATAATATTGATATGGGAGTCATGGTCCAATACTGACCCACAGGGTTAAAGACAGAGAGAATTATGTTTTATTATAAATTTGTAGTTACACGAACAGAGGCCTGGTCTCAGACCGGACCGCGGGGGCGGTGACCCCCGGAAGCCTCTCCAGGTATACTCCAGGTATCCTCGCTATAATGTTTGTCGCTATTTAGTAGCTTGTCCTTGTACTTTTCCATCTTATTCGTCTTTTTCAGTTACGAACATTATTTTTTTTTTCAGGCGAATACTATACCAATGATTCACATTAAAATTTTGAATTTTGGGTTTATAATATGTCGTGGCTTTTTTTTTTTTTAAGTATTTCCCCATCTGATGTGAGACTAGGCCCAGGAGGCGGTGATCTCGAGGATCCCAATGGAAATAATTCACTTTGTCTAACTGTTTTTGGGTTATCCTAGTTAATTTGCACATGTTGCTCTATAATAATTGTACATATGTGTACCTGTACCTAAGTAAACTTATTTATTAATCTCTGTAACCAGGAGCACTGGGGACCGAACTGGCGTCCTTAAAATTACAAGCGGACAACTATACCTTCTCAGCTACAG